AAATTTGGAATATATTTTGGTCTATAAATTGATTCCATGATTTATTTTTCAACTAAAATTGCTTGTTTGTTCTATGCTTTCATTTCAGAATGCAATGACACAATAAACTGAATAATTTTCAGTAAAAAATTGGAAAAAGTGTGGTGTTCTAAAACTTTTGACCGGTAGTGTATATATAACCAATTTGGAACTTTTTTAGTACAGCAAAGTTTATGTATAGGATGAAATTGAATCGAACAGATATCTACTGTTGGTGCAGGTTCGGCAGCAAAATGATTCCCTGAAAATAAATGTTAGATATTGCAGGAAAAGTGTCATTATGTTTCAGATATCAGTGGTGGTCAGTATCTAAAAATGTGTTTTAGAACCAGTATTGCACCAGTCTCAGCGCTGTAACTTGGGTACTGTTGCGTTTTCCACCTTATCTGCACAATAAACCCCAAAACACACATCTAAAAATGTCCAGAAGCAGAAACAACAGAGAGCAGCCATAAGTGAAAATATATGGCTTTTATTTGTTATGATGACTTGTTTCTTTTTTGGTCTTTTTAGTGTTTTTTTTTTTCCTTTCGGTTGGTCCGAGTTGGAGTGTGTCGTACCTCGAAGCCAACACTCGCACACACACACACACACACGCACACACCGAGCTTCATTCACATTCAAAACATCACATACGTAAAAGAAGGAATAAATAACTTATGTACAGGTTAGACGCCACCTGATCCCTGATGGTGGAAATCAAAGTTCTCTTAAAAAAAGATGATGTTGCTCCAGAGTCCTGGGACGGCAGCGTCTTATTGCCGTGAATCCTGAGCCTGAGCTTTTCCGAGTTTAGAAGCACTTGCGGTGGACGATGCTGGGACCGGCCTCGTCGTACTCCTGCTTGCTGATCCACATCTGCTGGAAGGTGGAGAGGGAGGCCAGGATGGAGCCACCGATCCATACGGAGTATTTACGCTCAGGAGGGGCGATGATCTAAACACAGAGAGGGACATAGGACAGGTTTATTTTATGGCTAGCTCCTCGTACTACATCAGTTTGTTATGTGATGTGAGGACAGATAATGGGTGTTATCCTGACTGCTGCTGAGCTTTCTCGCCTTTAACTCGAACTCTGATTGTAAGATGCATATGTGGGATGTTTAATAGTCACAGACGAAGAAACATTTAGTACAGATGAAGAAGCAGGTTCATCATAAGGTCCATCTAGTAGCTGCTCTGAAGTTTCCAGTCTTATCACGGGATTTTCAACAAGTTCTGATCGAGTTGTACGACTGCACTTGTTCAAGTTCCTGTTTTTCTGAGAACTTAAAAAACGTGTGGTCCATATTGGAAGGGAGAAAAAGGACTTTGAACATCTCAAAAGCTCCAAAAAAAGCTCCTAAAATAACTTTGTGGTGAGATTACTTCAACTCAAGAATGAGTGTTGGTTTAATTGTTACGTAACCGTTTATGCTTCTGCTCATTAATTAAGGACAATAAGCCTGCTTCCCAACAATATACAATCAAAATGATGTGCCACTGTATCTAAAAAGTGCTTTCTTTATGTGATGTGAAAGAACTTTATGTATTTATTCTTCTGGTTAAACTTATGCAATAGTGCCAGCGGTTTACCAGAACAGTGTTCGAGTCGTCACAGATGGATGTAATTTCCAGATATAACTCCAGAAACTCTCCATAACTGTCTGAATGTAATCATTAGTGAATTTAACTCCTTCTTGTATCAGTGAGAAAGCTGCCACTGTTTTACCTTGATCTTCATGGTGCTGGGAGCCAGAGCTGTGATCTCCTTCTGCATGCGGTCAGCGATACCCGGGTACATGGTGGTGCCGCCAGACAGCACGTTGTTGGCGTACAGGTCCTTACGGATATCGATGTCACACTTCATGATGCTGTTGTAAGCGGTTTCATGGATACCGGCGGACTCCATACCTGTTCAGGTGCACAGCAGAGAGCTTCAGTCTCTGTCTTCAAGCACTTTCATTAGTTTGTTTTCATATCTGAGGCTGCAGAGAAAGATTTCTCATGACGAGTACAAAATTATTCCCACAAACTTAACTTTTAACGTGTCAATATTCAACACCAGCTTTTCTCTCCGCAAAATAAACTAATACAGTTCCTACTACACACCGATGAAGGAGGGCTGGAACAGGGTCTCAGGGCAGCGGAAACGCTCGTTGCCGATAGTGATGACCTGACCGTCGGGCAGCTCGTAGCTCTTCTCCAGAGAGGAGGAGGAGGCGGCGGTGGCCATCTCATTCTCAAAGTCCAGAGCAACGTAACAAAGCTTCTCCTTGATGTCACGCACGATCTCACGTTCAGCTAGAAACAGAA